GTGTTGTTGTACTGCAGTAGCAAAGCACGAGGTGTGACTTTGTAATGGCTAAAAGTGATAACCAGACGCTGTATAATTATGGTTCTTTTGCTTGCAGTGGACAAACAGTTGGTGTTGATTTAGAGGTTGTTTTTTCCATCTTTGGTTATCAAGAAAGTGAAGTATCTTAAACACAAGCTGTATTTTTTTCCTCTTTATGTTGCATAATAAATGTATAATGTTGTAATGTTAATTAATATTTTAGGTTTAAAAAGCTAAATAAAAGTAAACCCTGTTTCTACAAAAGAAAAATCAAGGGCAATTTACAAAACAGTTCCCCAAAATTGCCACAAACACCAATTTATTTTTTATGCAGTTTCTGAACAATTCACAAAACACAGATGGAGCCATGGCCCACATAGATGTGAGCTCACAGAAATGAAGCCAGCACCGTAGAAGCAAAAGATATGTGGAGCAGAACTCAGCTAACGTGAAGTGCTGTGCTTTAATTGTGTGACGGATGTATTCCTCGTATCACTTTTAAAACATGAGGTAGTAACAGAGGCAAAATGACCAATGTGTTAAAGCGTATGTGTCAAACTCGAGGCCCGGGGGCCAAATGTGGCCCTCCTTAACATCTTATCTGGCCCCCAAGATGTTATTTTAAATGTAAAATACTTTTATCACTTAATTTTTTTTCAGTAATCTTTGATTATGATGTCAAAAATGCAACAGAAAACAGAAAATGAGACCAATCAAACTCTTATTGAGGAACTTGCAATCAAGAAAAGATGTTGGGTATCTAACTTGAGTTAATGTAGATTCTGAAACCGGCCCTTGGTTTGAAAAAGGTTTTAATTTTGGCCCCATTTTGTAAGTGGGTTTGACACCCCTGTGTTAAAGTAAACTGGTGTCACTGATCAGTAATGTGCTGAAGTGATGTTATACTGACTGCATGACTAGTTGGTTGTTGGATTTAACAGCAACAGATTTATTACCAAAGGAACAGCAATGATGAGCACAGCAATTTTGTATTTACCGTATTTTCTGCCGTAAATGACACACCACCCTATAAGTCGCATCAGTCTAAATATGTCTAATAAAGTGGAAAAATCCATAAATATTTTTTTTTTCATTTAGCCTTTATTTATCCAGGTTAGTCTCATTGAGCCACGAGAACTCATTTGCAAGAGAGACCTGTTTTAGGGAGCACATGGTGGGGTTAAGGGCCTTGCTCATGGGCCCAGAGTGGGGCGAATGAGGGTGGGGGCAAGTGTGGGTGTTTCACCTACCCCACCCACAATTTTG